ATCCAAATTCTGAAACACCTGAACCAGAAAATCAACATGTTACCGCAAACCAATCAGAAGACTCCCTTACAAACTCTGATACCACTACCTCAATTCCTGGAATAACAGAACCTCTTATGGTTCGTTTACCTCTCTCCATCCATGATATTCTAGAAATACCTTCACCATATGATTCCACACCACCAAACACTCCTCACTCACCAATCCTGATTTCTGATTCTCCTACTCTCTCACCAATTAACCGTCCAGCTGATCGTCTCAGAACTGCCATTGATCTAGAAGCGCTGGACCATCTAGCTTCAACCTCTCAGAAAATTGCCATTCCCAAACCCAAACCAACCTTAACCAAAAAAGATGTTGGTAAAAACTTGCTGATTTTTGATATAGAAATACAAGAATGGGTTACTTCTTTAACGCAAGCAAGTAAAGATAATTATAATCCTACTGCTTTTGATTCTCTATGGGATAGATTCAGAAAATGGTTTAACTCTGAATCCCAGAGGCTGAAAGAATTGAGTTATGAGATGACTCAACAGAACTTCAGTGATCAGCTGAAAGCCTTCAAAGACCAAGTTCTGAGTCACTAGGACAAGAAAGAAATTCTTTTGTTGGAAAATGCTCCCTGGAAAGAGCACCAACCTTCAGAAGCCAATGAACTAGGTTCTGATAGTCACCCTCTGACTACTGCTCCAGAAAAGGAAATTGTAACAAAAGAAGTAGTTGAATCAGAAGAGGCTGTAGAGTATTCTGAACGACATGTAACCTCTGAGGATACACCAGCTACGTCTCTAGTCATGCAAACTCTGGAAGAGTTGAAAAAGGAAAATGTTTCAATCCATGCAATGTTGGATAAGCAAGAAGACACAAACAAAGAGATTAGGGATATATTGGATAAGCAAGAAGATACAACAAAAGAAATCAAGGATATTCTGGAAAAGCAGGAAGAATCAAGCACTCAGATTAAGAGCTTGCTGGAAGCGTTGTTCACACGACTTCCCCATCCATCTTAGATTTTCTTTAACTTGTATTATGTATTCTTCATCTTATCTTCTTTGTTTCTGAAAAGTGTCATTGCAATCTGTTTTCAATATAAATCATCATCTTTTTTACTCTGATAAATTGTGATTATATTGCTTTTTGATACCTGACAAAAAGGGGGAGAACGCAAGATATTTTCAATAACAATATACCAGGACAAAGTCTCAAACATTCTGAATATCTTAACTTCTATTTTCTTTCTGAAAGCATGAACATGAACATATTCTGATAAAGACAGAAGGAGGTGCATCAAAATCCATGATGAGAAGGAACTTCAGGGAAGTAATTCATCTCCATATGAGTACTCAACTCGGGGGGAGACTCTCTTAAGCTTTTGTTCTGTAATTTCCTATTGAAAAATCCTAGTTTTTGTCATCATCAGAAAGAGGGAGATTGTTAGAACATAGTTTGATTCTACAACCCTTATAAGAGTTTTGATGATAACAAACACAAAGAACCAATATGCACTCTAAATTTGTTTTATGTTGTACATAAGTTCTGACTGAAACGACATCAGAAGTTAAGCATCAGAAGCACTCAAGCTGAGTAATCAGAATGTTCTGAAGTATGATAATCAGAAGTTGCGCTAAAGCAAAAGATATCCTGATTCTGAAAATAAGTCTAACGCGCCAACAGATTCTTATGTCTCTGACTTATCAAGATCTGAAGCAAAGCAGCTTGCAAGATTCCTAAGTTCTGAAGCGTTACTTTTCCATTAAGGTAGTATCATGTGCAATGACTTCATTCAGACAAGAATCTTCTCAGTATGGAAAGTGCATTAAGTGTCCATTATCACGTTTTAATTTGGACAGATTTCCACGCCTATATAAACAAGTACAAAGGGTAAATCGTTTACGATTTTCCTCACGACTGCTTTACAATCTTAAAAGGCTGCAAAAATTCATATTCACTCTACATTCAATTTGTGTAATACATCACAATAGTGATACAATTTTTGTAACGAAAAACAAATAGTACACAGTAAAATTTTCTTTGATTAAGATATTTTCCTTGAGATAAATCGGGTTGTGGTTATACTCAAGAAGACTTTGGTAGTTGTCAAAGTAGATTTATAATCTGTTTAATTAGTGAATTAAGTCCTCGTTGGAGAGAGGCGAAATCACCTTGGCGGATGGACTGAAGTAGTTTGAGATCAAGAGACCCAGGATAAAAATCTCGAGTCTATTGCTTTTGATTTTTAAGTTTCAATTCAACCCCCCCCCTTTCTTGTGTTTTTCACTTCTTCAAATACTTAGGTTTATTTATTCAGGAGGATTCTTTAACCGAATATGGGTTCCTGATCCCGACTTCCTTGAACTCTATGTTCATACATTTTCTCCTAATTTTCTCATATGAAGTACTTAGGGGAATATACACATCAAATATGGAGCGGGGTCCCTGCTCACTTTCTTCTCAAGGCCGACCAATGTCTTTCTCTAATGGGTGGGTGTATTCGATGTTTCCACGCCCACAATTGGTATCCATGGGCAAAAGTTTTTCTTTATAATAAATGTAATGTTACAACCTACTCAACAAGTCTTTCGGGTTATGAGTATCTTTGAACCTTACTTTCTCTTAAAAGATACATACTTGTCTCAAGCCTTTTTCTAAAATCTAGCACTTTAAACTTTCAACTGAGCCTCCCACGACCATTGCAACATCGGTGAAGCGGTCGATGTACGCACACAAGATTTTTTATACAATGGGTAATCCCACTGAGCATCGACATTGTTATGGGTTGCCTCTTTTAAACAATGAAGTGGGTAGTGAAAGCCTCACTTAGGTTGGCCCATGAATTTAAACTTCCATCAAGAAGGGATTTGAACCAAGCCATCATTGATCCAGTCAAAGTTAATGCAAAGATTTTGCATTTTACAACCCCATGGGCATGGTAGTAGTCTAGATGATCATCCACATGCTTGACATGTTCGTCTAGGTCCGCGGTCCCATTATAGCTTTAGAGCTTCAGTGAATTCTATAATGATCTCAGAATCATACTATCGAGGATGCGAGCAAATATGAAGTTTTTCTTTCACTCTAGGGTTGAAGCATCTTTTTGACATCTTTCTCTCTTCTGAGGGCGACATATTTCTAGAGGAGTATGAATACCTCTTATCCCATCGAGATCAGAGGAGGGAGTCTTGTATCTATGATATCGTCAGTGACTCGATGTCTTCAGAACTTTTTCTTAGTGCGTTGCCGCCATGATTGATACCGGTTCAAGGATAACAACTTCATTCCTTCGTGACACCGCTTCTTGCACGATATTGTTACTCATAATAACATGTTGCAGGCTCTCTTTAATTCTGAATATTCTTTCTGCTAAGGTTTGAGAATTCTTCTATTGCACCATGTTATACATATTGTTAACAAATTATTCACCCCTTTCACGATGAGGTTAGCATGTACTAATTGAAAGTTAGGAATCATTTCCTATTCAGGAATCATAGCCAGTGATGGAGGTATGAACGAAAGTTCTCCATCGTGGAATTGTAGCGCATTTCCAAAGAAAGGAAGAGGTTGAAATACTCCCTAACTTTCCCTAGGTTGATTAATATCTTGATGTGAAGGAATGAACAAAGAGGTTACCATGACTTGATCATCCAATCTTTGAGGAAGATGTGATGGATCTTTGGCCGCATCAACAACAACAATAACGACATGTCTTTAAACGACAGAACGAGTAGCTTTAGAAGCCACCACTAGAGATGGATCCGAAGGATATATAAAGTAAGATCGAAAGGAAATAAAGTTGAAATTCGAGAGAAACAATAAAAAAAATTGAGATTTAAACATTTGACAAAGGAAATCCGATTGAATTAGGAGATTTGATCATGAAAATTCGTAGGTATCAAAGATCGATTCCTGTAGACGATCCCAATATTAAATAATGAATCCATAGTTTATCAGTTAGTGAGGATGCATAACTTGTTGTAATAGTTTAGAACTTTCTATGTGGTTGAAAGGAGACTAACTTGTAAGATTAACACTTCACCACTCAAATAAAAATATATTCAAATATATAATAAATGATGCATTTTCCTTATAAATAGGAAAAATAGTTGGCAATTAAAAGTCAAATTTAATTTTGAAAGGAATCAACTAACCTTATACAATCAATTTTTTTTCAAATAACCATATTTTTAAAAAATTTATCAAACTAACCACTTTTCAAACAAAAAAATTGCCACACAGAGGAGTAGCCACTCTGTGTGGCACATGCATGCTATTTAGAGAGGAGACGCCACGCTGCATGACTTGTCCTCCTCTGTAAAACTATACAGTGTGACACATGCATGTAATGTTAGAGACGAGGCACCATCTACTATGTCTTGACAGTTGTATTTATTACATGCATGCACCACAACAGATGACGCCTCTTCTCTGATATCACATGCATGCGCCATACTGCACGACTTTATAGAGGAGGACAAACCATAGAGTATGACGCCTCCGCTCTAAATATCATGCATGCACCACACGTAGTGACTACTCATCTATGTAACAATTTTTATTTATTTGAAAAGTGGTTAATTTAGTAAATTTTTTGAAAATATAATTATTTGAGAATTTTATTCAAACTCCCTTTAAAATAAACCTATAATTCACCGGAAATTAGGAGAAAAGTGATACTATAATTTTCCCAGCCTTAGGGCACATGCGTCACTTCCACAATTCCTTTCCTAGTTCAAAAATTGAGGAAATTAATCAGAAGTACCATTGTGAAGTTGGAAAAAAGTTACTTTCTCATATATACCCCTCTAAAGCAAATTATTACCCGTAACAGCTCAGAAATGCTTATTGAGCATCAAGTAGTACAAAACCAATTTTCATAAACTCTCACTCAGTCACACACTCTCACTCCAGAGTGAGAGCAAATGAAACATTACAACCAAATTGTAGAAAAATCCTTTGTCCACAAACCCTAAATTTCCATCGCAGTGTACAAATCGTTAACAACAATGGGTCACGTAGGCTCAAGCAAAGACGCTAGCATCGCTGGTCTAGACATGAACGATTTACTCAACGACAACATCGACATGGAAATGGACATTGACCTAGACGAAGAAGATCCATCCGAAATCCTCAACGAGCTAGGCGATGATATGGTGAAGTATTTCTGCAAGAAAGCTTCGATGATGTTCTTCAACGAGTACGGTTTGATCAGTCACCAGATCAACTCGTTTAACCAGTTCGTTACCAGTGGACTTCAAAATACATTCAATTCCTTTGGCGATCTCGCCGTTACTCCTGGTTTTGATCCTTCTAAGAAAGGCGATAACGAGCATTATCGTTACGCGACGGTTAAGTTTGGTGCTGTGAGTCTCGATCGACCTAAGTTTTGGTGTGGTGGGGAAAATAATTCTCTGGAGTTGAAGATGCTTCCTAGACATGCGCGTCTTCAGAGGATGACTTATGCTTCCAAAGTGAAAGTGAATGTTGAAGTTGAGGTGAGAAGGTTTTTCATCATTTCGTTAGGTTTTCGTTTTATGCTTTGAAATTTAGGGTTTATATTTCCTGTTTATGTGTTATTGACCAGAAATTATTATTTGATTGTGTTTTTGAAATGTGTTTGAAGAGTAGAAGATGAAATTTGAGAGTGACAGGGATTACCAAAAATTTGTGTTAATTATACAGGTATATGTTCCGAAGAAAGTTCGGAGTGATAAATTCAAGACTGGGAAAGAGGAATACATTGATAAAGAGGTTATCACGAAAGAGAGCAGGGAAATAACTATTGGTAGGCTGCCTGTTATGGTCAAGTCTGATTTGTGCTGGATGAGTGAAGCTGAAAAAGGTGATTGTGAATTTGACCATGGAGGATATTTTCTGATCAAGGGTGCTGAGAAGGTTAGCTATATTCGTGGTTTGCTTACATTACATACGTTTCTGGCTTGTTTGTTACAGTTTTCGAACATTTTAGGGTTAAATATGTTTTTGGTCTATAAAATTCTAGATTGTTTAAGTTGAACTTGAATCCTTGCATAAATGTTGGTCCCTATTTTTCTTCAGGGACTAAAAGTACTCTTTCTAGTAAAAATATCAAAATAGGGACTGGAATTGAGTAAAATTTATCTAGGGACTAAACTTAAAAAATTGTAATTTTACAGGCATTACAAACATTTTTAACCTTAAATTTTAATGCAGTGCATTAATGTTGTATTTATATTATTGTGTTTTATTTTGTATGTCTAGAAAAATTAATCTTCATAATGTATTTCTATGCTGCTGTTTGTAAATTGCTTTTGTTGCAGATTTTTATTGCACAGGAGCAAATATTTTTGAAAAGGCTCTGGGTGACAACTGCTCCGTATTGGGCAGTTGCATACAAGTCACAGATGAAGAGAAATAGGATGGTTGTTAAATTAGTGGAAAATTCCATTGTTGAAGGAATAAAAAGCGGGGCGAAGCTGCTCACCGCATATTTTCTGTCTGTTGAGGTTCCTGTATGGATACTGTTTTTTGCTCTTGGGGTCACTTCTGATAAAGAGGTTGTTGATCTCATTGATTATGGATTGGGAGATGGAAGAATTGAAAACCTTCTCATTGCATCCATACGTGAGGCGGACGAGAAGTGTGCCGCATTCCGTAGGGGAAATAATGCTCTTCTTTTCCTAGAGGAACATGTTAAAGGTGTCAAGTTTCCACCATCAGAATCTATTGACCAGTGCCTTGACATGTATGTCTTTCCTAACATTAAAGGATTGAAAAGGAAGGCGCGGTATCTTGCATACATGGTGAAGGTTCTTTTACTGGCGTATAATGGCCGCCGAAAAACTGATAACAGGGATGATTTTCGAAATAAGAGGCTTGAGTTGGCTGGTGAGCTACTCGAACGTGAGATTAGAGTGCACTTTGCACATGCTCGGAAGCGAATGGCGAAGGCTCTGCAGAGAGACCTCTATGGAGATCGAGATGTTCGTCCAGTTGAGCACTATCTTGATGCTTCCATTATTACAAATGGTCTTCAAAGAGCATTTTCTACTGGAGCATGGACACATCCTTTTAAAAGGATGGAAAGGATTTCTGGTGTGGTTGCAACTCTTGGCCGAACGAATCCATTGCAAACCATGGCTGAATTAAGAAGAACAAGGCAACAAGTTCAGTACACAGGAAAGGTTGGGGATGCTAGATACCCGTAAGTAACTTTTAACTGTCTATTTTAGTCTTTCTGTAGTTTGTGAGGTCGGGGGAACTGTATCTACTTTAGTCTTTCTGTAGTTTTTTGAGGTGGGTGAAGTGTGTCAATGGAATTGTTTCATCCTAGCTGACTGATGGTTAAATATCAGCATTATACTAAATCTTATAACTAATAATCGTCAGCAACATAAACATGCGAAGGCCCCTTGGAATATTTCCATCAGCAAGAAAACCAACACTAAATCAAACTACCTGACTGTCTGGTCTTTAAAACTCATGGTTCATTGATTCAATTCTTTTTAGCGCTGCCTGTATAGACTAGATTCTGTGTTTTTATGGTGACTATCTTGGCCTCATCCATTTCATTTTCAGTATCAGCTTCTGTAGAATGCCTTCATTGAGGGGATGTATCTGTAATATTAGTAAGTTGTGATTGGAATGGTTGGTTAAGAAGTTGTGTTGAAATCTGTAATCTCTTCTTTAGTCATCACTGGCATGAGTATAACTTTATTAATAACAACTTTCCAACCTTTACAGGGATTGATCTGCTCTCTGGCATTGTCATAGTAGCTTTTGCTGTGTACTTGTTCTCTAGTTGAGTGATCAATGTGTGTAATATAATGGATATTTGATTTCTCTCTAAGTTTATAGTTCGAAACTTCAAATATGCTGTTTATATATGTTTGAACAATTGCTTTGTTCATTAGTATAAAATTTAAATGTTTTCATTTATTTTAATGGAAGTTTTTGGTTGCAGGCATCCCTCTCACTGGGGTAAGGTTTGTTTCCTCTCTACCCCAGATGGTGAAAATTGTGGACTAGTAAAAAATTTGTCTGTCACAGGAGTAGTAAGTACCAACGTAACTGAATCTATACTTCCTCACCTGTTTGATTGTGGGATGGAAGAACTTGTTGATGATACTACCACTGTTCTTGGAAAAAAAGACAAAGTCTTCCTAAATGGGGAATGGGTTGGAGTTTGTTCGAATTCCGCAGCATTTGTGTCAGAGCTACGAAATCGAAGACGGAAAAATGAATTGCCTCATCAGGTTCACTTTTATTTTCTCATTCTAAGCTGATTGTGCATATCTACATTTTTCATATTCTATATACTATATAATACTCTTACTTTTAATTTGAGTCATGGAGAGAACCCTTATGGTGGAAAAAGGTTGTTGTCATATGTTATTAATTTGAGGCTTAGTAGCTTAACATAAAGCATTTCACCTTTGCAGAGAAGATGATACATTAATTAACAAATAGCATAATTATGTTTTTAAGCATATGGAAACTCGGACTGTATTGGATATTAATTTTGCAGCTTGGTTTATAACACATGATTAAATGGTCAGCAATGATTATATTATTTTTGTTTGAACTTTTGCTTCCTACGGTTAATATGCAACAAGTGCATCCACAATTTGAAAACAACCCACATAATATAATACTGAGCATGCACTGGAGTAGTGGAGTGGATGCTGTTGATTTTGTCAGAAGCTTCCAAATTCCAATACCGCTCTTTTCACATTTCTTCTTCCTGTGTTATGTTTCCAATTCGGTTGACTTTGTAATCTGTCTATTGTATCTCAGTTTCCCTAATTTTGTCCCTGGTTTATATATAAAATAATGCTGTAGTAATTGCAATAATTTTGTGATTTTGTTTCTATTGAGCCTAGTGCTAACCATTTCTATTTAGGTTGAAATCAAAAGAGATCAAATTCAAGAAGAAGTGCGCATATTATCTGATGCAGGAAGGATTCTCCGCCCACTCTTGGTTGTTAGTAATCTGCTCAAGATTAAAGAATCTAAGTCGGAGCATAAATCTTTCCAGTCCCTGTTGGATAATGGCGTGATTGAGCTGATTGGTCCTGAAGAAGAAGAGGACTTCAAGACTGCTTGGGGTGTTGAGTATTTATTTGGCAAAGAGGGAAAATCTTCTGTGAAGTACACGCATTGTGAGCTTGATATGTCGTTCTTATTGGGTCTAAGCTGTTCAATGGTTCCATTTGCAAATCATGACCATGCTAGGAGAGTGTTGTACCAATCCCAGAAACATTCCTCCCAGGCTATTGGCTATTCTACGACAAACCCAAATATAAGAGTCGATGCTCTGTCTCACCAGTTATTCTATCCTCAAAGACCACTATTTCGGACAATGACATCTGATTGTCTTGGAAAACCGGGATATCTAGGTCAAAGTAAACTTCTTCCGAAGTCTGAATTCTATAATGGGCAGAATGCAATTGTAGCTGTTAATGTACATCTAGGATATAATCAAGAAGATTCCTTGGTGATGAACCGTGCTTCTTTGCAGCGTGGTATGTTCAGATCTGAGCACATCAGGAGTTATAAAGCTGAGATTGAAAATAAGGATTCTTCAGAAAAGAGAAAGAAACCTGAAGACATCGTGAATTTTGGAAAGATACAGAGTAAAATCGGTCGAGTTGATAGCCTTGATGATGATGGCTTTCCATTTGTTGGTGCGAATTTGCAGAGTGGTGATATTATTATTGGGCGGTGTGCTGATTCGGGGACAGACCACAGTATAAAGTTAAAACACACTGAAAGGGGTTATGTTCAAAAGGTTGTGCTGTCCTCAAATGATGAGGGGAAGAATTTCGCTACTGTTTCGTTAAGACAGGTAACTTGTGAATCCAAAAACTGCTTCAATGATGACACATGTTGCCTTGTGGATGAATTTAAAAGGGTTACTGCACTGGTCAAACATACTGGATGCATAGGTGCAGGTGGAGATAGACATGCAAATAAATAAGTTTGTACATCATCTGAACATGAATGTTTTATTTGTGTTCCACAACTGAAATCCTTTTTTTTTTTTTACCACAGTTGTATTTGTCACTAAGAAAAAATGTTATTTAATAATATTTGCAGGTTCGAAGTCCTGTTCTTGGAGATAAGTTCTCTAGTATGCATGGACAAAAGGGTGTTTTAGGATTTCTGGAGTCTCAAGAAAATTTTCCTTTCACAAAACAAGGTATTGTTCCTGATATTGTCATAAATCCACATGCATTTCCCTCACGTCAAACTCCTGGGCAACTCCTAGAGGCTGCTTTAGGAAAGGGTATTGCTTGTGTTGGTTCATTGAGAAATGCTACCCCTTTCTCCACTCCGTCTGTTGAAGCCATTACTGACCAGCTTCACAGGTAATGTTTCATAATGACTTAATTTACTTTAATTACAGTTTAGGTTACTTGTATTTCAATTTTTGGCTCTGCTTACTGTATGACTGATATTTCTTATTTACCAATAATGTCTTCCCGGTTGTAGATCCTTTTCTTGCATTTGCTCCAGGCTCACTAAATTTATCATTCCAAAGTTTCACTTTTAAGTTGTCATGTTTTTTGGTTGTACTGAACCCTATTTTATGTTCTGTATCTGACAGAGCTGGCTTTTCAAGATGGGGAAACGAACGAGTATACAATGGGAGGACTGGTGAGATGGTTCAATCACTAATATTTATGGGCCCAACATTCTACCAGCGACTACACCACATGTCTGAGGACAAAGTGAAGTTCAGGAACACCGGCCCAGTTCACCCGCTAACCCGACAGCCAGTTGCGGACAGGAAGCGATTTGGAGGTATCAAGTTTGGTGAAATGGAGCGTGATTGCCTGATTGCCCATGGAGCATCTTCCAACTTGTATGAACGACTCTTCACCCTGAGTGATTCGTCTCAGATACACATTTGTAGTAAATGCAAAAATGTTGCAAATGTGATCTTGCGGCCGGTATCTGGTGGCCGGAAAATACGAGGGCCCTATTGCCGATTCTGTGAATCAGCCGATGACATTGTGGTGGCCAGTGTTCCTTATGGAGCAAAGTTACTGTCCCAGGAGCTGTTCAGCATGGGCATTAACCTCAAATTTGACACCGAGCTTTGCTAGACACCTACTATTTAACATATCGCCTATCTTTTGATTGCTAGACAACTACTATTTAACATGTCACTTATCTAATGCTTTCCCTAGACTAGTCTCTTGAACTTGGTGTACATATCTGTCGGGTTCCTGGATGTTTCCTTGATATAACAGCCAGGAGTATTTCATGACATGCATCTTGATTTACATATCTGCCCTTGTATTTCATGACATGCATCTTGATTTACATATCTGCCCTTGCATTTCTTTTCGTATGAACTTCAAAAGTGAATGTTCATATCTGGAAGTTCTTCGCCCCAAAAGTTCACGAATGATGAGCAGGTGGTTAGTTGCGATTGCCACGAATTTGTTTCATTGTTTTAAATCTATTATCTATTATATTTTAATTTATTAAAATACCAAATTTAATTTAACAACTAAACTATTTTCATGACAATTATTATAATTTTACTGTATCATAATTCTTCTGATGTGACATTGTGAAACTACAGTTCATATACCATAGAAATGAAAAAGAAAGCTTGCATTAAAAGAGGAAAGAGATAACTTGTATTTCACAACTGGTTTACATCAATGCAATGTGTTAAGTATATATAGCTATTCAGAGTTAGTTAGATCCTAACTAACTTCTATAATCAAACTATGACCACTTAACTAACTATAGATGTAATAGTAATTTGTACAAAAAGGATCCATGAATTGCTCATCATGCTTAACATCTCCCGTCAAGCAGGAATAGATATTCAATATTCCAAGCTTGCTTTAAAGATTGCTAAAAGGTCCTTATATGCTGAGATTTTGTCAAAATGTCCGTCACTTGATCCTTTGAAACAATAGGAAGTAAATGAAGAATTCCTACCTGCACTTTATCTCTCACCACATGACAATCAATCTCGATATATTTCGTTCTTTCATGAAACACAAGATTAGCTGCTATATGAAGTGCAAATTTGTTATCACAATAGATCACAAATGGAGCAGGATGTTTAATTTGAAAATCTTGTAGCAGGTACAAGATCCATTGACCTTTGCAAGTAGTTTGTGCCAGTGCACGATATTCAGCCTCAGATGACGACCTGGATACATCTGTTTGTTTCTTGTTCTTCCAACTTATCAAAGAATCTCCAAGAAAAAAACAAAAATCAGTTGTTGATCTTCTTGTATCGGGACATGTTCCCCAATCAGAATATGAGAATCCTTTAAGTGTGAGAGTTGATGATGAGCTAAAGAACAGACCATTACCAGGATTTTCTTTGAGATATTTCAACACATGGATGCCAGTTAACATGTGTTCATCAATAGGATTACTCAAGAACTGACTAAGTTTGCTTATTGTGTATGAGATCTATGGTCTAAAGCGTGTGAGATATAGTAATTTTTCAACCAATCTCCTATATTCAGTGGATCAAAGAGAGGTTTACCAGATCCTTAATGCAATTGAAGATAAGGCTGCATAGGAGTATTAGAAGGCTTTGCTCCAGTTAAACCTGCATCTTGTAATAAATTCAATGTGTACTTTCTTTGACAAAGAGTAATTCCCTCTTTTGATCTGCTTACTTCAAAGCCAAGAAAGTATTTTAGACTGTCAAGATCCTTAATGTTGAATTTGTTATGTAAGAGGGTCTTAATGTTGGTTATCTCATCAACATCAGCCCCCTCCCCCCTAAGACCAAATCATCCACATAAACAAGGATTACTGTGAACTGAAGTCCATTGGATTTAGTATACAAGGAATAATCTGACTTGGAATGAGTGTAGCCAGATTGAAGAAGAGTTTCAGTAAGTTTAGTATTCCATTGTATGCTTGTATGCTTCAAGCCATAGAGAGATTTTTGGAGTTTGCATACAAGATTTGAATGAGGTAATGTCAAGCCAGGTGGAGGTTGCATGTACACTTCTTCATTTAGTTCACCAAGTAAGAAGGTTGTGTTAACATCAAACTGAAACACGGGCCAACGATAAGCAGCAGCAATAACTATGAACACTCATTTTAACAATAGGATTGAAGGTGTCCATGTAATCCAATCCTTCAGTCTGAGTGAATCCCTTGACCACTAATCGTGCTTTGTACCTCTCTATAGAGTCATCACCATTTTGTTTGAGTTTAAAAACTCATCTAGATGTAATAGCTATTTTATGTTGAGGTAATGGAACTAATGTCCAAGTATTAGTCTATGTGAGAGCATTTAACTCAGATTAGATAACATCACTCCAATGTTTATTACCAATAGGTTCCTCATATGTGTGAGGCTCGGGAATAGAAGATAAATGAAGAATGTATTGGTTATGTGCATGAGAAAGATTATGATAGAAAAGGAAATGAGATAAGGGATACTTACTTTGAGGAGAAGATTGAGTGGGAGCTGAACCGTGGAGTTAGACTGTATTCTCAATCAGGTTGCAATGATAATCTTGGAGGTAAGTGTCATACCTCAAATTTGGCCCGTTGATTTCTGAATAATTTATTGATGTTATCATTTTTGTGGATAAATTCAATAAGGGGTTTAAAGGGATAAAGTGGGTGTATTGTGTCAACATAGACCATTAAAATCTAATGGTCCATGTGGTTTATAACTAACATAAAAGAAGGGTGTATATTTTTGCTTCAGATTGGCCTGTTATAATCTTTATATACAAGCCCATTTAAGAAAACATGGTGTTCAGAAAAGATGGGGGTGCGTTTGGGTTCTTGGACCAAGCTGGTAAGCTCATTAAGAGTTTTTTGGGTTAAACATGGGGTGTTTTTGGTGTAAGGGCCCAACTTTGTTTTTTTTCTGCATAGCTCATTTTGCATGGTCTGAAAATGGGTGTCTTAATAGAAAAAAGGGGTTATCAAATTAGTCCATTAATATATTTTAGGCCCATTAAGTCATTCAGCCGATGCAATTGCTTTTGGTTGTTGAATAAAAAGGGAAGGGAGTGTATGTTTTTAATCAAAGAAGCCCATAGCAATCCGTTTGTGTAAAGCCCAATAAATGGAACGATTAGCCCATTTTTAGATTTTTGTTGAGAATCTGTTTTTACAGTAAAATCTTTATTTTATAAAGCTTATTTTAAAAATTGTGTTGTGTTTTATTGAGAAAAAAACAATGACTAGCAAGGCCAAAATTGAAGCCCTCAGTCGCATGGCCCAATCCAAGCCCAAAACTCAGATAGGCCCAACCCAAGAAAAACACATGTTCCAAAACAAACAAACACGCACTGTACAGATCATTGAAAAATAATGCTTGCTTTTGAGCCAATAACAATTACTGTTCAAATCCAAATAAATCTTTACATTTTGATTGTCCGAAAGTTTACATTCATAAGAAAATCAATATAGAATTGAATCAAATCTTAACTCATTAAAAAATCAAAACTAAATCAAAACTTATACAGATCCTTGTACATATTACATACAAAATCATAAACAAATCCCTAATTCCTAAAAATTTTCTATCAATCTAAAAGGTAATGATTAATTACAGAAAACCTTCCTAATTTACTAAATAAAAGTACTATAAAAACCTAAGTGTTCTAATACAGGAGGGGAAGAAAATTTTTACAGAAAGAAAAATTGAGACAGAGACGAAGGGGTCTTTGATTGCACCACCGTTAACTCCCGTGTATCGCCGCTTCGTAGGGTTTCAACATCTGAAACCCTAGCTTGGCTTGTGGCACCGCCGCTACGTCTTTGTCACTGCCATCCAAGCACCTACAAAACAAAAAGAGAGGAGAAGAGATCAGGACGATTCAGACCCAAATCCAGAGAAATACAGAGATCTACGGTGAAGAAGGTAATTCTCGTTTACTTAGCTTAAGGAATTTTGCATGATTATTTGGTGATATGGGGTTATCTGGATCTAAATCGTGGGGTTTGGTTTTGATCACCGCCGATTAGGGTTCGTGGGGTAGCGACAACGATCTATGGTTTTTTGGTATTTCTGTTGTTGTGTGGGTGAGAGAAGAGAACGAAGATGGTTCACAGAGAGAGAGAGAGAGAGAGAGAGAGAGAGAGAGAGAGAGAGAGAGAGAGAGAGAGAGAGAATAATGAAAATGAAAAATGTTTGGTAAAAAAAATATGTTCAGCAATCCTGTACGCATGAGTCCACAACCGTTATCACACTCCTTCCATCATAACCACACGATCTCTATCATGTGCCCTAAAACGCGCGCCCACCGGGATTACCATACGCCCTCCCATACCTTGGCTAAATGAATCTGTCCCAAACACTCACTGGGCCTGGCCCATTGCTAAAACCAACCCCTTTCTGCCTTTGTTTTACTAACACACACAAAATCATACCCCTTAGGCCTAATGGGCCAGGTTCAATATCTGGACTTGGACCCCCACTCCCCTGCACCCTCCATCTTACTACATAATTAAAAAATGAACCCCCTGTCTTTTGAGCCTGAATTCAATATCTGAATTCACGGTCTTGCTGCACACACCTCCTTATTTTACTAGCCCAATATAATTCACACCCCTTTGCGTTTTTCTAATTTAATTCTTTTTTATTTATTTTTATATTTTATATTTAATATATTTCTAATTTCTAATATTATATTAATTATCATTATAAATCAAATATTATTTTTTTCTAAAATTCATCAAAATATTTATTTATTTATTTGCATTAAAAAATTAATTTTGTCATGCATTAAAAAGATTTTTATATATTAATACATTTAAAATAACTAACCAACACCAGATCTTTTTTTTTTATATATAATTTAATTAAATCTAATATTTTTTTCAAAAAAGGATTATGAAGATACTTTAGACCGACTGCGAATTTCGTCTAACAATTCCGCTATTCACACACCCAGACTTGGTTCGAGGGAAATTCGAAATATCTTCATAATCCATAAAAAACACCAATCAACCGTGAACTACGAATTAGGACTCTGATTCCTCCTAAGAGGATACATAGGCATATGACTAAAATCGTGGCGAGTTCCCTTAATAAAAAATTAAAACCCTATTTCTCAATGATCACGCTTCTAACCCTAGTATCCTTGTGAAC